CCATTGTTCGGTGTAGAGGTCATCTGGCTATCATTCCTGACTGCACACAACTGAATATATTCTATCCCTCTTCTAACACACACACCGAGATCATCCATGATGGCCATTTGGTTTTTGTTGTGTGATTTTATAACTTATCACTACACCACAGACTCCCTGAGACTCCCACACCAGTGACCTCTCTACATTCTTTAGCACAGTGTTCTGCACACCAGAGCCTTTACATACGTATCCACTGAATCAAATCTTGAGATGAGAGAGCAATGGTCCTAACTTGCATAATGGAGTTTAGTAAAAACAAACAGAAATGCCTTCGTTTATGATTTTAAAAATAAACTGCAGCAGCATTGGGTGGGGAAAAGCCTGACATGATATGAACAAAGTACCTCAACATACTAGCTAATAAAAACCTTTTAATCTAGTTCATATGTCTTCTTTAGGTTGAATCTTGCTCTTAAAGGTTAGGTCATGCCGAAACCGGTTTGGCTCAGTGGATAGAGCGTCGGCCTGCGGACTAAAAGGTCCCAGGTTCGATTCCGGTCAAGGGCATGTACCTGGGTTGCGGGCACATCCCCAGTAGGAGATGTGCAGGAGGCAGCTGGTCGATGTTTCTCTCTCATCGATATTTCTAACTCTCTATCTCTCTCCCTTCCTCTCTGTAAAAAAATCAATAAAATATATTAAAAAAAAAAGGTTAGGTCAGACTTTGCACATATGAAGCCATCTTCCTTATTCAAACACCCACAGAAACCGACTTTTCAAACTCATGGTCTTAAAAGTCTTCATAACAAAACACTACAAGGAACAGCTACGCACAATGAGAACTGGCTTTCAACCAAAAGTCTCTTAGCCATTTGGCCTCTGAGGTAGAGCTGTAACTGTACCTAACTCTTTTCTCCAGTGTTCTGGGCTTTGAAATCATGTAACTTTTCCCCAGGTTTCTGCCATCCCAAAACAATTTTGAAGTTTCTATATTTGTTAAATTAAACTTTGCACTTGAGAGTCTTGGTTATTTACTTAACATTCAAGGGATAATAACTGTTCAAAAGGCAAGTCTAGATTTTACCATATGCTGTTCTAGCAAAAATGAGATTCACTGCAAAGGTCCAGACATATTAAGTCTCACCTCCCTCATGTCATCTTACTATGCTAATTGTGTAACTCAAGCTTTAAAAAACATCATACAAACACTCCTCCATGTGACCTGGCACTCTTTGGTGTATGACCACAATATTATCACTTCTTTCTCTTGCCTTTTTATTCTTCCCCAAATGCTGTTTTCACTGTTTCTATCTATAAAAATAAAATTTGCTTTTAAGTACAGGTGAATCTCTCCTTAATAAATAAAAGAGAATCAATAGAATAGAATAGGAGTCTTAGGCTGAAATTCGGCCTTAGGTCTACTCCCCAGTTAGTATTTAACACGTTGCCCAAAGTAGTTAACTTTCTCAGCCTCAGTTTCCTTATCTGCAAAATGGGGCTAATGATATTGAGTTGTCAGAATTGTTTTCAGAATAGAACTAAATAATAAGCGGAACCCTCTAAACACAGTACCTGACATGGAAGAAAGATGTTTGTTCATACATACATATGTGTGTGTGTGTGTGTGTGTGTGTGTGTGTGTGTGTGTATTCTTCCTTTCTATCTTCCCTCTTTCTACTACGGTATCCAAGAACAAGTACCTCTTTACTTCAGTACCACCTAGATAATTTACTTTACCTATCTAGGTTAATTTCCAATTCTCTTATTCTTTAAGCCATAATCTGCATTCAGTTTAGATATCTGAGTCATAAATACTCATCTCCTTTCCCTAACGTTTCTTTGAGGAATTGAGGTTGTTCTTCCTAGATCATTCTTGTTGCTTTCCCCATTCTTACAGTCTCCTTATGGTATCCCGTTCCCCAACTACCAACACAAATGTTAGCTTATGACCTTTAAGATCAAATTGATATCCCCTCTCAAGATGCATTCTTCTTGTTTCATCCTGAGACACATTCCATCCCTATCCATGACTCTACCATTTATGTATATAAAGTCCTAGTCTAGAAAACCAGGTCCTGTTTTTAGTATTATTTACAAAGACCATTGTTCCTCTCACACATCCTTTTTCCTCTACCAAAGTTACACTATTGTGTCTCCTTTGATCTTATCTCTCAAAAGTCCTCATATTACTTTGGTATCCCATTAGGGATATCTACATCACTGTAAGACAAAAACAAGAAGGTCCTTTTAACTAGAGTCTCTTTCTTTTTATTTAGTGCTTACTATATGCTTGTGTTATCATCACTTTACAAGTATGAATGCATCAATCTCACAATAACTCTACTATTAGTCAATTGCATTATTATCTCCACCTGATAAATAAGGAAAGTGAGATATAAAAATTAACTAAAAATGACTAGAGAACACCCAGCTACTAAGTGACAGATCAAGTACTCAGACCCTGGTATTCCAGATCCACTGTGTCACAGGTGACTCCAAAGTCACCTGTGTGCTGGAAGCTCTAAGTCAACACTGCTCCCTACAGAATGCTGGGGTAACAAGATCTAAACTCCGCTCCTGGGCTCCACACCGAAGAAGGTGCTAAGAAAACAGTGCTCCTTGTGAGGAGACAGACAGATGCCAGTGACTCCTTGGGAAAAAAAAAAATCCTCATGCCCCTCTGCATCTCAGCTCAACCTTGGCCCTGAACTCTCCAGCCCTGTTTGGGGATGCATGGGGAAATGGTGAGGTTTGCATCGCTCTCATACCACTTCTCAAGTTCACGAGTGTGCTGGAAGAGAATCCCCCTCCTGTCTTCTCCAGAAAGCTTGCCCTTTTAGAGTCTGACAGGGACTCTTCCATCTCATCCTTCCTCTCCTGGCTCAGTACACACACTGGTGTTTACAGTTCAGGCTCCAGGAAGCCCACCTACTCGTGACTTGTGTGGGAGTTACATATACGTTCACCTTGTCGTAATTCATCTAGCTGTGCGACGATGCATTGTGTATTTTTCTCTCTGAATGGTACACCTTAATTATAATTTTTAAAAGTATAGTTGAGCCCCCAAACCACATGCAAACAACCACTTTTATATTTTTAATACTTCATCTTCAACTTAATAATGGAATAATTAAGAGACAGATCTTTAAAAAGGTATTTTTATGCTGAAAAACATTAAATGAGCTAGCACATAAACAAGTTAGATCGTCCAAGTTCCTGAAATGACTCAATCCTCTGCCTCTCACAATTCACATACCCTAAGAGCCAGCATTCCTAGCTACTTGCTGCTGTCTGAATACACGTTTGTTTTTTTCACACCTGCATCTTCATCTAATTCATTCAACAAGTATGTCTTTCGTCAAGAAACAAACTTGAACCAAAAGACCCAATCTCTGCCTAGTGGGAAAAACAGATACTCAAATAACCATGCAGATAGTGTGAAAGCGCAGCTGTGGTAACTGCTCAGAGGGAGAGTGCGTGATGAGTGAGCACTCGTAAGAGAGAGGATCTGACTTAGAAAGTCAGGCTTGCCAAGGAAGTGACACAGGAATTGGGATTTAAAGGACTGAACAGAGGAAGAGCGATGGGAGCAGCTTTCCAGACAGAGGGGAATGGATGTGCAAAGGCCCTGAGGTAAGAGGAGGCTGGTGAAGAAGAGGAGCCGAAAGAAGGCCACATCCTTCTCTGCTTTCGCAGTGACCCCTCCTCCATCAAATCCTGCTCAAATGTCACTTCCTGTGTGTAGCCGTTCCCTCCTTTCCATTTGCACTGTAAATGGATATAGCCCTCACACCATCATAGCATTCCTTTTATCCTTCTGTTAGCACTTAGTTCACTGAATTGCAATTATCTGTTTATACATCTGTCTCCCTCACTAGGCTGGGAATTCATGGAGGACGGGAGCAGTAAAGTATTATCTCTGTGTCTCTCTGCATACATGTATAAGCATATTTTAGATACTCACTAAGTGTTTTACGAGTGAAATAGGACAACGTAACCATGCCATGCACACGCAGACATAAACATTTTAACTTGAAACTGTATTACCTACTTTGGGAGCTGTCTCAATTTTTTTTTTTTTTTTGCAAAGACTCAGCTGGAAAGTAGCAACTTTTTAAAAAGCCTCTTTGCCCCCAACCTTAATGAATCATAAGGTGTTATTTACTTCAGCGTCAGAAACAGCTGTCCTGACTTTGTTAACACAACGTAATTCATTTTATAAATATCACACAATTATCTAATTTCTAAGTCTCTGCATGCTTTGAAAGGTGTTATTTTGGAAACAAGTCCTGGCCCATCCTAGGGAAATTCCCAAACCAGCATTGTCATGGCTAAGTATATCCTCAGAAGCCTTGCAAGGCCGGGGAGGAGGCGTAAATCCCCTGCTGTGGACATTCAGAGTGCTGACAGCCGGGCAGGGGAGGGGTCCCCACTCCCCCAGGCCTGGCTGCAGCGGCCTGGCCTGCTTGCACTCACAGGTAATAATTTCAGGGCCCAGCAAAGCCGACACTCAGCTTCCCTTCCCCAGAGCAGCACAGCGCCTCTGCGCAGCTGCCGGCCGGCCTGCCTGCGTTTGTAGGATTCGCCAGCAGAAGCGGGAAGGATTAGAAAACAGAGGCTGGCTTGTTCGCCGGCCCTTTTGCTGAGCCCTCCAAATGGGAGTAAGCAGCCTTGGAGGTTTTCCTTACATGGTGTCAGCAACTCCAGGGCCCACTCTCCAGCCACCTCCAAACCCAATCCCACCCTCTCAGGGAGAGGAAAAACAATGAGATCAAGATTAGGGTATTCCTGTTGCAACCCAATCCGCAGGCTCTCTGGCTATTCGATAGGGGGTTGTCAGAAAGGGCTCTCCCCCGCCTGTCCCCCACCCAAGGTCTATCTGGGCCTGACATCTCTGCAGGATTGAAGGGGGGAGGCGAGAGGGGGGAGCAGTGGTGGGAGTGGTAATTTAAAACCGCGCTTCCCGCAGCCGTGTTTATGAATACAAGGAGCTGTGTGCTGGCCCTTCCCATACTCACGGCCACGCTCCTGGAGCCCGGGCACTGAGACCAGGTCCCTGAGAACTGCCCTCGCTCAGACCCAGGCCGCTGCACACCACTTCCTCCTCTGCTGTCCGCGCTGAAGGGCAGGATGTGGGCCTCCTGGGAAAAGAGCCCTTTGCCAGCGGGTCACGCGGCTGCCCTTTGATCTCTTCCCACCAGACTGGGTTTGCCTCCTGGGTTGGGTTTTTTTTTTTAAAAAAAAAAACCTGGCATACATGGAAGTTAGTACTTATTACAGATTTCCTGCCTTTATCTCATTTAATTATAAAATCTCCTGGGAAGAAGGAAGAGAGTCTATGAAGGGCCAGGGCAAGGAGCAGAATCCATCCAAAACAGGGGGGGGGGGCACTGTGATGGCTGGGGCGTCTGGGTGTGTTTCACAGTGTATCCCTCCCCCTGCTTCATGCTTAGGATGGAAGCTGTCTGTCTTACACAACCTGTCCTTGCACATGTCTCGACCTCAGAGGCAGGGCCAGGCAGAGGGGAAAAACTGTGCAGTTGGACTGTGGTGGGTAGAGACGCCCCAAGATCCTTCTGCCCCCACGCCTGTCCTAGAAGCCTGTATACGTGCTTTATACGTGTACTAGTTCCTGCTTATCTGTAGGACACATGTGCCAAGATGCCCGGTGGATGCCTGAATCTAAGAACAATGCAGAACCCTATAAATGTTATGTTTTTTGGCGACACATATAAACCTACGATAAGTTTAATTTATAAATTAGGTGCAGAAAGAGGTTACTAATGATAAAGCAGAACAATTATAACTGTAATAAATATACTGTAATAAAGGTTAGGTGATGTGGTCTCTCAAAATGTTTTATTGTACTGCACTCACTTTTTCACTTAAAGGACGTGCCTATGGCTTCTCTGTGGTATATCCAAATTGCCAGCATCTTTGCTCTTGTGCTTTGGGGCAATATTAAGTAAAATAAGGATTACTGGGACACAGCACTTCCGCACAGAGACAGTCCATCTGATAACCAAGACAGCTCCGAACTAACAGGTGGGGGAGCGTATACAGTGTGGAGACACCAGACAAAGGGGTGAGTCACATCTCAGGCAGGATGGAGTGGGATGCGGGAGATTTAATCCCACTACTCAGCACAGAGTGCAATATAAACCTTATGAATTATTTCTAGAATTTTCCATTTAATGTTTTCAGACGGCAGCTGAGGGAGGGAAACTGAAACCACGGAAAGCAAAACCGTGGATAAGGGGGGACCACTGTATGTATTCCCTTCTAAAGAAAAGAATATCCCCAGGGATGAGTCGGAATAAATTCTCCTGCTCTGGGAACCCTCTCAGAACGGCCCTGTCTCCATCCCCCTCCTCACCACATGCTTAGGGTCCAAGTGCATGCCTTATTGGGCATCTCTTCCTTTTTTAGGAGAGTATTTTACCTATCAGTCACTCCCAATAGAATGTAAGCTCCAAGAAGCCAGGAAATGTTTAGTGTATAAGAGGCACTCATTAAATGTTGATGAAGTAAACTAAGAATTTTCGGTCATATGGTTGTCAACATGAAATCTCCAAACAAATGTTACATTGGTTCACTTCAAATACCAGAGAGCCTGTACTTTAAATAAACCAACATTTATTCAGAAATTATGTGCTAGGACGAGTCATGGGCAAATTTGAACCCATAAAAGCAGCGCTGCTGGATTCTAAAACTTCTTTAGTTTCCCCTTAATGGGATGTATTCTGTTGTGGTAGACATGTGAATCCTTTCAAAATGAAGCTGAGATGTCTACACAACCCCTCCTGCGCCCCTGAGAAAATGCTGGGGAGCGACCCCAGTGGTCCTCCTCCGAAGGTGCTCAGCAGTCCTAGTTGTATAACATTGTGTTTACACTCCAGGCCTGGGGCCTAGCCCTCTGGATGAATGGTCTGGATTGAGACTGAGGCCAGCTTTCTGAAATGTTGACTTCAGCACTCCTGTGGGCCAGACCCATCAGCCCTAAAGCCCCGAAAACTGCACAGGAAAAGTGTAGGAAAGATTATAGCTGTATCTCTGAGTGCTTACGCACTGCTGAAATTTTGTCTAATCTCTCCTCACAGCTGAAATGTGAAGAAAGCAAGGATCTGAAGCTCCATAGGACCAATTGTTTAACAGAATAAAAATGCTTTAGCAATAAGGTTTCCCAGCTTTTAAAGTAAACAAGGCCCCTGTGGATCCAACTCATGGAAACTAAAAGTCCCCCCCAAAAGATTAAAATTGTGGGGTATATAGTTATCAAATTCTGCTATCTCAAAAAAGTTACAAATTAACAAGGCTTATTTCTCACAAGCATACTAGGGGGCGGGGAGCGGGGGGGAAGGCATATAAACTACGTTTCCTGAAAGAAAAAAAAAGTACATTATGGTCACACACAACTTTAGGAGCTTGAGATTTTAAATTCTACAAGTATATTCTATAATCCAGGCATCAGCAAACTTTCTATTAAAAATACTAAATATGCCCTGGCCTGGTAGCTCAGGTGGTTAGAGTGTTGTCCTGATAGGCCAAGGTGGTAGGTTTGATCCCTGGTCAGGGCACATACAAGAATCTACCAATGAAAACATAAAATAAGTGGAATAACAATTTGATCTCTCTCTCTCTCTCTCTCTCTCTCTCTCTCTCGTCATTGACTAAAATAAAAATTTTTTGAACACTAAATAATTTTGGTTTTATGAGCCACACGGACCTTTTCCCACCTTCACAATTATGCCTGTATAGCCATAGATAATGCGTAAAGAAGTGTCCCAATAAACTTTATTTACAAAATCAGGTCATATAATCAATGGTTGAGTTCATCAGCATTACCAATAACATTAAATTGTGAACAACAACAAACTTTAACAACCCTATCCCAAGCACAGTTTTGTTAGCACTGAATTTCAACTAAACACAACTCAACTGCCCTGGGCTAGTGTCTCGGCAGAATATTAATGACAATGATCCTTTGTGTTTGAAGATCAAGCTTCAAAACTGTTGAAATGTTCCCAGCAAAAATGGGAATCTATGCTTTCTCTTTAAAATAATGGTGAGTTTTCAGAAACTGCGTGCATGTGTTGACATTTAAACAGCTGGCACATACAAATTCGGGATATACTCAGAAAAAGTATATTTTCACATAGAAATGCAATCAATGACTTGGATCTGAATATACCTATCTAGTCAGAACCACCATATTCAGTCACTTGCTAGAACATCAAACTAAGTAAGCCATGGGGATAAAAGGACCTATGTCGTACTTTAAACAATAAAAATTAAAAGAAAAGGGGGGGGGGAAAGTATGTATCCAGAAAATATTAGCTCTGAACAGGATCTTATGGGTCAACTGGGAGAAAAAATTTAATTTATACAAAGAAACTGAGGTAGAGAGAACTTGTCACTTGCCCAAGATCACAAAGCCCAATTGTAGAGGAGGCATGACTACACGACAGTCAACTATGTGCTCTAAGAAGGGACAATGTCAGCTATGGCTCAACACTGTATTCCCAGCCTTGAGAACAGATCCTGGCACACAGGAGGCAATTAAGAAATACTTGTTGAATAAACAACTACAGAATGAATGAATAAACAACAAATGAGCCCGACCAATATACTTTCCCATCAAAAGTTGTATGCACTTATAAAAACCTTATTCAAAAAGAACGTTCTATGTGTAACTTTCTTCCCAATGTTGAATTGTGCATTTAGTCCTTCAGACACCACCATAAACTGCAGAACTAATGTGAGCAGCCTCAAGGAGTCGAAGCACCACTCAAGGCAGCTGATTCCATCCTAAGGAATGATTTATGCATGATGAGAATCTGTCTGGAACATCAATGATGTCTTTATCTTCAACTACTACTCACAGAGGACTCAGCCTAAGTGTACTCATACTGTTTGTCCGGGGTTTCCCAGGACTTGTAAAATGCAAGCCTGATTGCTTGGAGGGGTTATGGCTTATTTCACATTATCTACACCCACTCATCCATCACCGTGGGACTTTGTGGCATACAAAGCAAGCTCTTCAAAGCAGGGGTTAGGAGGCACTCTCTAACTATTCCTGACTGTTGCCATATTTCCCCTTCCTGACAACAGACAGGACAGGTGCTGCCCCGGGAGACCTCGCTGTATAGAGTGGCACTCCTACTCGACCACCATCAGATCTAAAGCACCTCGCCCAGCTCCATACTTGAAGGTCAAGTGGAAACAACCTGCATTCCTTCCACAGGTGTTGGCCTTTTAAAAGGAATGCAGACTTTGAGCTCCATTTATGTTTTCAAAATATTGCTTTTTCTTTGAACTTGGAATGTGTAACTTTATCCACAGACTGTGCAATTTTACATTCACCCAGACACTGCTTCTATGACATGACTCTTCAATAGCTCAACTATTTTAAAAAATCTTTAGAAAAATCCCACAATAGAGAGCTAGAAAATAGACTTTCTTCTACATTTCCTTAGAAAACCCACATATAAATGTAAATGAATAAACACACACATGTGTGTATATATGTTTTAAGGGGGAAAGGGTGGATGGCAGCCTTAAATAAAAGGTCCAGAAATTCAACAGCCACTTGGCCTTCCTTTCTAAGCCTTTAACAATGACTGCTCAGCAGTAGCCCATTAGCGAACCAGAAGTAATTAAGGGTAGGAAAAGTCCTGCTCCTTAACCACTTAGTCTTTTAAAGAAAAACACTACCAAGTATGTGTGGCTAATTTTTAAAAATTCTGCAGACTTTCCCAACTGTTGAAAAGGAACAACAAATAATATTATATACATTTCAAAATAATTAAAAACATTTAAAATATATGAGCTCTGTAAATAAACTTTTTAGACAGCACTTTTCAATTCTTTGTGCTTTATTGACATAATGCTCTCCTGGAAATACTATTAATAATAAACTTTTTAAAAATTTAATACTGAAAGCAGCATACATATAGGTACTTTCATTTCATTTCACACACGCATAATTTTCCAGGGTGACACACATACACAGACAGACACACCTTTATGGAACCGAAATGCCAGATTCAAAATAAATCCATAACATTTACAGCATAAATTCAGACATCTGAGGGGGGTTTCCCACAATTAAA